GTATTCCATTCCCTCATCAATAAGCTCAAATTTATTCCTATGCTCTCTTCCACCGTTAAAACATCTATAAATGGGGGCACCTGGGTGGCTCAGTCGGTTGAGCGTCCAAACTCTCGATTCTGGCTCAGGTCATGATCTCATGGTTTGTGGGATTGAGCCCCCCCATCAGGCTCCGTGCCAACAGCACAGACCCTGCTTGGGTTTCTCCTCTCTCCTGCTGCCCCACTCCCCAGCTCATACTTGCACGCGCACACACACACGCACTCTTTCTCTCTCTCCCTCTCAAAATAAATAAACTTAAAAAAAAATCTATAATTCTACGGCTATCTTATTTATGGCAGCCTGGAAAAGTCACGTCAGGAATTTGAGAATGTTGCTCTCTTAGCTTTGCACAATCAAGCCTTATCCAGAGACCTCCTGCTAACTATATGTCAGAGTGAACTTCCCTTAACAGGAGAGAGAGCCTGTTAAAATGAATCAGGAGGGTATAAAGACCCAACGGTGAAGAGCCTTATACCAAGTCCTATCACCTGCATAGAAGTGAAGTGAGAAACTCTGACCAAAAAGAAAAAAAGCATTACACGTTATTTTTGGGCATATTTGCAAATTAGCTCACGCAGTAGATCAAAAGTAGATAGCGTGTTTAGGAAAGATTAACTTAAATCAGAAAAACCCATAAATCCTTTTAAGCTATAAACCAAGGGCATTCAACTGCAAAAACTAGTGGGTGTCTGTGTGGGTTCAGCTGCTCTCTGCAGCCCTAGTAACAAGTACTGTCCCCTTTACTCGCAGTGTGGGTTTAAGATGGGCAGAAGGGGTTGTTAGCCAAAGACAAATTTTGCTTATTTAAATTTGAAACAAATCCTTGCCCATCCTCAATTTTGTTTTACTACTCTGCTTTTTAGTTAGAATATATGATTTCAGTTTCAGAGCACATCTAAAAAATTAACTGTGACATTAAGTTTATTATAAAGTTATTGAACTTACCGGGGAAGGAATGAAGGCTTCATGAAACTTCTTTGGATTAATTCTCAATACACCCTTTAAAATAAAAAATAAAATCTGTGAAAATCTAGTCATACACTTAGAATTTTTCCATATGTATGTTATTCTCCAATAAAACGTTTTTAAATTAATTAAACAGCTCGATCTAGGAAACGACTCAGGCATATGCGAACCACTCGTAAACTGCGTGAAACATGATTTATATCGATGTCTGGAACACAAGGTTCCATCGAAGACTGAAAGCTCACACTGGCACCTTGCTGTGAACGGGCAGAGGTGAGGAGCGGCAGAGCAGCAACTACTGGGATTTTACGTGCCCCCGGACGCCGGTCTTCACATTTAAACCTTTACTTTGAGAACAAGGTTATGTGGGGATTACGCCTCGCTATATAATGGCCTTTTTTATTCATGGAGACCTTGCCATGCTTGCTCATGTCTGTGACACTTTTCAAAGTGATACAGGTTGACTTCCAACCTGGATACTCAACCTTGAGAGACCAGATGCATATTTTTTTACTGTGGCACTTCTGCAGAGCCAAATGAGTCAATAATTCAAAATGGTCCAGAACCAGCTCTTAATGTAAATGGGAATCCTGACTCCAACAGCCAGGCCACCCAGTCTGCCTTCAACTTCATGTTATTCCAGCACCAAATCAGGGTCTGCTTCTATTTACGCACAGGGGTGCAGGTGGGGGCCGCCTTCAATAGCAGTTCAGTATTTTAGGCTCTTGCAGGAAGCTGTAACCCTCCTAAGGTTCCAGCTGCATTTGAAGGCCACTGGAACACATGGATAGAGGCGGTTATTTTCCTAAGAGCCAGACTCAAAAGGTGTCTTGAGAAAGTGTTTTAAATAACATTTCCTCCCTAAAATGTTGAAAGACTCGAAGATATGTTAATTAACAAAATAGGTGAGAGCATAAAATAAAGTAGAAAATAGTCCTTCCCGGGGCGCCTGGGTGGCGCAGTCGGTTAAGCGTCCGACTTCAGCCAGGTCACGATCTCGCGGTCCGTGAGTTCGAGCCCCGCGTCGGGCTCTGGGCTGATGGCTCAGAGCCTGGAGCCTGTTTCCGATTCTGTGTCTCCCTCTCTCTCTGCCCCTCCCCCGTTCATGCTCTGTCTCTCTCTGTCCCAAAAATAAAATAAAATAAAAAAAAAAAAAGAAAATAGTCCTTCCCTCCACCGGTGCACCATGTTTAAATGTTTAAATTACAAACTCCCATGTCACAGTTTATACTATTGTTAACATCCTAAGTGGACTTAATTCAAGATTTATTGAATACTGGCTACGTTCAAGATCCTGAGACACACATTGTGGAGAGAGAGTGGTGATCAAGCTCAGTCCTTGTTTCTAAAGTAAAATATGAAGAACTCTGTAAGTAGGGACACAGCTTACTCTCGGCTGGGGGCACTAGGAAAGTCTCCAGAGACAGTGTCTGATCCGCTCGTTGACAGAGGAGAAAAATTCACAGATAAATCAGAAGGGAAGTACAGGCAGAGAACGCCACATAAGCAAGAGTGCTTAAGAGGGCAACTACTCTTTTTTTTTAATTTTTTTTTTAACGTTTTTTTTTATTTTTGAGACAGAGAGAGACAGAGCATGAACAGGGGAAGGGCAGAGAGAGAGGGAGACACAGAATCTGAAACAGGCTCCAGGCTCTGAGCTGTCAGCACAGAGCCCGACGCGGGGCTCAAACTCACGGACCGTGAGATCATGACCTGAGCCGAAGTCGGACGCTTAACCGACCAAGCCACCCAGGCGCCCCAAGGGCAACTACTCTTGCCCCACCATGTTGTAACTCTGCTCAGGGTAGGGGGGTGGGGGGGT